TCTCGGCCTCCCAAAGTGCTGGGATTACAGGCTTGAGCCACCGTGCCCGGCCCCAACTCACCTGGAATTCTTTCCTGCATGAGATCAAGAACCCTCTTTTGGAGTCTGGATTGAGATCCTTTTATTTCCATAACAATAGTATTATACAAACACAGGCATACCTCAGGGATATTTAGGGTTTGGTTCTAGACCACTACAATAAAGCGAGTCACACAATTTGTTTGGTTTCCCAGTGTGAAGGGGTGGCGTGCCCGTCCACGCCTGTGGGTGTTTCTCATCAGGTGGGACAAGAAAAGAAATAAGACACAGAAACAAAGTATAGAGAAAGAAAAGTGGGCCCAGGGGACCGGTGCTCAGCATCCAGAGGACCCGCAACGGGCACTGGTCTCTGAGTTCCCTCAGTATTTACTGATCATTATCTCTACCATCTCGGAGAGGGGGCTGTGGCAGGACAATACGATAATAGTGGGGAGAAGGTCAGCAGGAAGACATGTGAACAAAGGTCTCTGTGTCATAAATAAATTTAAAGAAAGGTGTTGTGCCTTGATGTACAGGTACAAAAACATCTGGGTGCATTAAAGAGCAGTATTGCCGCTATGTCTCACCTCCAGCCTTAAGGCAGTTTTCTCCTATCTCAATAAATAGAACATACAATCAGGTTTTACACCAAGACATTCCATTGCCCAGGGAGGAGCAGGAGACAGATGCCTTCCTCTATCTCAACTGCAAAGAGGCCTTCCTCTTTCACTAATCCTCCTCAGCACAGACCCTTTAAGGGTGTCGGGCTGGGGGTGTCGGGCTGGGGGATGGTCAGGTCTTTCCCTTCCCACAAGGCCATATCTCAGGCTATCACATGGGGAGAAACCTTGGACAATACCTGGCTTTCCTAGGCAGAGGTCCCTGCGGCCTTCAGCGGTGTATTGTGTCCCTGGGTACTTTCAGCAGTGTATTGTGTCCCTGGGTACTTGAGACTAGAGAATGGTGATGACTTTTACCAAGCATACTGCCTTCAAGCACTTTCTTAACAAAGCACATCCTGCATAGCCCTAAATCCATTAAACCTGGAGTCAACACATCACATTTCTCTGTGAGCACAGGGTTGGGGCTCGGGTTACAGATTAACAGCATCTCAAGGCAGAATAGTTTTTCTTAGTACAGCACAAAATGGAGTCTCTTATGTCTACTTCTTTCTACATAGAAACAGTAACAGTCTGATCTCTCTTTCTTTTCCCCACTATGACCTAATAATCCAAAGGCCCCACCTCTTAAGATTATCCCACTGGGGATTAGGCCTTAATATGAACTTTGAAGGGACACAGACATTTAGACCATATAAATAGACAACACTGCGTTATAAACGGACCCAGTTTCCAGAGTATAATAGTACACACTGGATTCTCAGGATTGGCATTTATTACAGTCACAAACAATATAACTCAAATGCTTGTATTGATGTGGTGCTTACATTATCCTATTTCACAGATGGAAACATAAAATACCAGCTTTTGTTTTAATAGCAATATCTTTTTTTTTTTTTTTTTGAGACAGAGTCTCGCTTGGTTGACCAGGCTGGAGTGCAGTGGCCGGATCTCGGCTCACTGCAAGCTCCGCCTCCCGGATTCATGCCATTCTCCTGCCTCAGCCTCCCGAGTAGCTGGGACTACAGGTGCCCGCCACCACACCCGGCTAATTTTTTGTATTTTTAGTAGAGATGGGGTTTCACCGTGTTAGCCAGGATGGTCTCGATCTCCTGACCTCGTGATCCGCCAGCCTCGGCCTCCCAAAGTGCTGGGACTACAGGCATGAGCCACCACACCCGGCCAGCAATATCTATTATTATAATAAATATTGAAATACCACCATAATAATTTCACTAAGGAAGTAATCTAACTGTGTTGATTTTGCAGAGGGAGAAAAACATTACCCCTAGAGCTGAGGCTATTGTGCTCAAGCAAACTCCAATCTGAAGGTGGCAGAAACTAGAAGGAACAGGATTTCTTATCATCAGAGTTAATATATTATTCACGGTATCTTAATAATTAAAGGCATGTAACAAATAGTGACAAAGATTGTGATATTAGTTATAAATTATGATAATTATAGTTAAAATCAATAATAGAATCAACATTATTGTAGAATTAAGTATTGTAGTTAATAAGTGGTATGATATGGGGGACTGGGGAGTACAGCAGGATAGGGTGG